GTACTAAGTCTGTTTCATTCATATCTTCGGTTCAGTAAACGTTATGTAGATGAAAATACCACCATTCGATTCAGTGTAAAAATATATACTAGTTTATAACGATAGTTTTAGTCAATGGCTACATTGTAGCGATTTATAAGCTTTGAAAGTCAAACGGGCTTATATATGATCAAATTACGCAATATTACTAACAAATTATAAACATAGACATACCTTTCGCCGAACATAACTTCGGCCCCTTGAGACATATGCTCATTCTTGTATTCTTGATGAATGAAGCAGTTAAAAATAACACGTATAGTGTTATTTTCAAGCTTCTATCTTTAAAACGTGAGTATTCTTGCCGAATTTTGCATTTCTGCCCGAATTTGCGTTAATCCCAAACCGGAAATACGACGAAAAACCGTCAAAACAATGCGTAGTTTGTATCGCGTGACTCTGGAAATGCCAGAAATGGATTCTACAGGTCAAAGTGCACCCATACGTGTGAGTTTGACGTCATCCCGGCTAAAGAGAGCTCCTTATCACAGAATAGGAAGTTATACCAGAAGCGTAACTCAAGCAAATATTTGTCCGCGTTTTTACAAGCGATTCGTCATCAATCACGCCATCCTGGCTAGTACAACCGGCACTTTGTACCTACCAAATCCTGATAAAAACTTCCGGCTGTACTAGCCAGGATGGCGTCAATGGTGGCATTTATTTAAAAGGGGGGTAAATACTCGCCGAGATATTTATATTAGAAAAATTGTATCGAAATGTAATACAAAACCGGTTGTCGAGAAAGAGTTAAAACGTTTTTAATTAAAATATTGAAGTCTCAAAACTTTGTATAGCAATATCAAACTGCAGAAGTAAGTCAATGTATCAACAGGATGGACAAGAAAAAAGTCTTGTGTTATTCCGCCATGATTAATTTGCGATACGCACGCTGGTGTAAACATGCGTACTAAAGTACGGCTAAATGGCGAAACAAGTGATAAATATTCGACTTTTTAGCCTCGAGCAAATTCCCCACCCCGGGGCTAACCTGCAGAAAGCAAATGCCCGACTCTGGGAACAAGTACAGTTGAGAATGCCCGACAAACGCCCGGGGGGGTGTTGGGCACCCATGGAATTGATTGAGACATAAGGGTGTTATTAGGAGATTATACCACCAGATTGCAAGTATCTTAGCAGTTGTTTCCTTAGCCTGAGTGTCAGATGCTCAAGACTGTTTGCCTGGTTTGGCTATATATTTTGAACACTGACCCCTTTAAAATCACAGCTAAAAATATGACCATTACTTATGCAAACAAACTGTGCATTCAAATCAAACACTAAATAATGGTAGCGATATCAAACATTCTAGACTTTTATCCTGGCCAAAACATTTAAAACATGTTTTGCAACAAGCGATTCTCTAACCAAAGACCAAGTTGGAATTCATAGGTATTACGCTGGGTATCTCCAGCGTAAAATGTTGTTGATATTTTATGCTGTGCAGAGCAAATGAATGACTACCTGATCATCGGCGGGACGTAAAACGCCATAAATTATGACTTTGTTTACGTTTTGAACTGCTATATTTGGAAAATAATATACTAACTGAATATCTAACACTTTTCTGGTTTGCTTGTAAATGAACATAAACTGCACGTTTCAATTCAAAAAAAGTTTGAAAGATGCAAAATTTGGGCAATGTTTATATGTGGGGGTCCCCTTTTGTTATGAGCAGAACTGATGTGCAGAACGGAGTGGACATTGCCTTTAACCTAACTCGTACTTTCAGAGTGGATTGGTATAATTGTAAAATTTAGCCAACAAACCTGGGGAAGACAGATCTGCATAATCAAAAACATTCAGATTAGCCAGATTTCTGCTACAGATTATAAGCTTTTTGTCATAATTTATTATGGCTTATAATTGTAACTTGTCTTATATTGTAACTTAGACTAAATTAAACAAATTGTTACATGTACCTGTTTTCGTACATTAATAATTTTCAAGCAACATGTGCAGTCTCCCTAATTACCCCCACCTTTGCGGCTGTATGTGTTTGTCAGCATGATAACTTGAAAAATATCAAACACATTAGAAAAATAACACACGTAACATTTTCAAATTATATTCATAACAACTTTATAATAATATGTTATAGTGTAAATCTATATATCATTAAATTAATAACAAATAATACACATTGGTAGCTCTTGATAACAATGTTGATGAACATATTAAAAACATTTCTACAAATAATATAATATTAACCCATTAGAGCGCAAGACTCCCTTTGAGGAATGACAAGTAAAATTGTCTGGCGTAAAAACAGAGTGAAATTACTGAAATACTGAAGTAGGGGCATTGAAAATTACAGGTGTTAAAGGCACATTGGCATTTTGGTTAACCATTAGATATACAAAAGTAATAGGGTGCATTGGGCATATTGCAGCTTAATGGGTTAATGTAAATAATCAAAAAGGCCAATATTTTTTATAATTCAAATCACAACAGTTGGCTTTACATTCATGTTCAAATTTAAGTGTAACATTTTATAAAAATAGTCAAAGATATCCAGTGTATATTGTCTTGTTTGGCAAGACGTCTCACTTATAAATGAACCCAAAAATGGCAAAAACAGAAATCCAGTTTATAAGCCTATGGTACTATTGCAATGTAATTAAAATAAATTAAATATGATGCATTCATTCCAAAAATTTTTCAAGTTACATCTAAACAAGTCACTTGATTTTCAGTTCTACACTGATGATGCATTTTAATACATCTGGCGCCGGTTGTTCAAAGGTGGTTTAGCGCTAAACCTGTGTTAAAATTTAACCCGCTGTTTTGGTTTGGGTACACTTGCACATCTGTTTATTTCAAGACTTTGGGAAATAAAACTACTATTGAACCAGACATGAATTTTAGAAAACTACTGTATCTTCATGTTTTTAAACAGACTGTTGGAAATATTGCTTTTAAATTTGCATTAACATAGGATTAAGCTAACCAGCTTTTGAACAGTCAGCCCCAGATTAAAGTGTCTAGCTGTGCGAGATGTCTTGGTAACTGGGATCATGTGCATATACTGTATGTTTAAGCAGGAAGAAAACAAAAATAATTCCAGGTAGAAAAGTTTTTCAAATTGGTTTATTTATGTGAAGATGTCAACTGCTTGCTGTAGAAATGGTAGATACCCTAATATATCACTTAGTTGTGTGTCATTGAATGAACATTCAAACTTCTCTTAACTGTAAATGTCTTACCACAATGTTGACATTGATAAGGTCTTTCCTCACTGTGTGTTCTTTCGTGTTTCTTCAAGCTACCTTGCTGTGTAAATGTCTTACCACAATGTTGACATTGATAAGGTCTTTCCCCACTGTGTGTTCTTTTGTGTCTCTTGAAGTGACCTTGCTGTGTAAATGTCTTACCACAATGTTGACATTGATAAGGTCTTTCCCCATTGTGTGTTCTTTCGTGTTTCTTCATATCAAGTCACCTTGCCGTGTAAATGTCTTACCACAATGTTGACATTAATAAGGTCTTACCCAGTGTGTGTTCTTTTGTGTGTCTTCAAGTGACCTTGCTGTGTAAATGTCTTACCACAATGTTGACATTGATAAGGTCTTTCCCCACTGTGTGTTCTTTTGTGTGTCTTCAAGCTACTTTGCTGTGTAAATGTTTTACCACAATGTTGACATTGATAAGGTCTTTCCCCACTGTGTGTTCTTTTGTGTGTCTTCAAGTTACCTTGCACTGTAAATGTCTTACCACAATGTTGACATTGATAAGGTCTTTCCCCACTGTGTGTTCTTTTGTGTCTCTTCAAGTTACCTTGCACTGTAAATGTCTTACCACAATGTTGACATTGATAAGGTCTTTCCCCACTGTGTGTTCTTTCGTGTTTCTTCAAGCTACCTTGTTCTGCAAATGTCTTGCCACAATGTTGACATTGATAAGGTCTTTCTCCACTGTGTGTTCTTTCGTGTGTCTTTAAGTGACCTTGCTCTGTAAATGTCTTACCACAATGTTGACATTGATAAGGTCTTTCTCCACTGTGTGTTCTTTCGTGTTTCTGCAAGTTACCTCGCAGTGTAAATGTCTTACCACAATGTTGACATTGATAAGGTCTTTCCCCACTGTGTGTTCTTTCGTGGCTCTTCAAGTGACCTTGCTGTGTAAATGTCTTAGCACAATGTTGACATTGATAAGGTCTTTCCCCACTGTGTGTTCTTTCGTGTGTCTTCAAGGTACCTTGCTGTGTAAATGTCTTACCACAATGTTGACATTGATATGGATGTTTTCCACTTCTTTGATCATTTCCAAAACTACCAACTAGTGTATCACATTCTAACCTATCATCTTCTAGCTCACGTTCATTAGATCTATTTTTACTAAGTTTTAATCTCCTACCACAAACCTGTTTTTGGTCAGAAAAAGGTTTCGTCCTAATGACACGTACAGTACAATGTTTTCCTTTAAGTGTTTTTAAATGTGGATTTTTCTTACAGTCATTTCTAACGTGAACATTAAGGTAGTCTTCACTACTGTACTTTCTACTGCAGTGAGGACATTCCCATAGTTTGGTACACACCAACATTGGACATCTTCTTAAATGAGATTCTAGCCAATTGGGATATGTATACATTCTTCCACAGTGTTTACAGGCGTGACCACCCTCTACAGAAAAATGGAACATGAAAAAATTGAGACCTTAGGCCTGTTTCAAACGGCGTGCTTCTCATGTGCCGAACGCATTAAAACAATAGATAATAATGAGATATTTCAGCTGATGATCCATTGTTTTTAATGCGTTCGGCACATGAGAAGCATGACGTTTGAAACAGGCCTTAGTCGTTAAGCACAGTGGCGAAGCCAGCCCGACAATTTGGTCATGCTATGCAAATTTTAAATCATCATTCATTTCTTTAGAAATTGATTGTTTTCATGGTCTATGAACACGGAAATATTTGCATAGCATGACCAAATAGCCGGGCTATCTTCGCCACTGGTTAAGCACATTTATCAAGAACTTTTGCCTCGGGTGAATCTTACAATCCTGGTCAAAAATGTTGGCGCACTTGACACTGACTGTGCGAAATTTGACTCCCACATCAATAAAAAGCATAGCAACCCCCCCCCCGTTCAATGTTGTGTGTAGTCCAAGGTGTTACACAACATTGATAAGGGGGGGGGGGAAGGTGGATGTCTGAAGATGGCATTTTGCATAAAATGCGCAAGTATGTATATGGTAATCGGAAATGAAATGAAGTAAAGGTTATGCTAGTTCGACTAAGTGCGCCAAGGATTTTTGACCAGGATTGTAGTTAATAACTATGAGTGTCAACTATGGTGTCAACTTATGTCATACGCACCTTTAAAACGTTTTTCCTCCTGCTTTTCTTCCTCTTCAAATAGCAGTATACCAAGTTGTTCTGCATATTCATCTCCATACCAAACCAAGAGTTCAGCGTCTGCGTCAATTTCTTTATACACTCGATAGAAAATCTCTCCGTGATATTGATAGGCAATTATGTTTTGTTCGTCCTCGCAACGTGCACAATTGACAAAACGCATCCAGTTGCTCTGGGAAGGGTCTTTACCATCGATGTAATATTGAATTTTCCCTTCTTGTATAATCTATAAATTTGGTTATCAATAAGAACTTTCTTACTTATTATATTGATAAGGTATTCCTTAGAATAATAGTTGATAAAATTCTCTTCTTGTACATTTAAAGGCATGTAATGTCGTTTTTCCCATACCTCCCACATATACGATGTATTTCTTCCTTCTTCTAAATCTTCCTTCAGAATTTTGTCTCCCCGGTATGGTCCAAAACGAGTATTTACTTCCAGCTTCTCCTTCGCAGAAACTCCCATACCAGCTTCAGGAATCGTTGAAGGTTTAACACATAAATTTTCTGGAAGCGATTTTATTGCACCAGGCGTCTTCTTTCCTGCTTCCATGTCATTGTCTTCAATGATGTTAAAGTTATGTGTAGGGCATTCTCCATAGTAAAAGTCATCACACTGATCACAGTCTATTATCAATTAAATATAATTTATTATATAAAGCATGGATAATAAAATAAATGGATTGGAAACTTCTGACGTCATTGACTGCATCCTTGTTGAAAAACGTGACGTCACGCGTATTGCGAATGTTACCAAAGTTCTTGGCATATTTGTTGTTTTGCTATATTTTCCACTTTAAAAGGGTGATCTTGAAGCGTAAACTGGTCTAATTGTTTTAAAAACATGCCTAAGCCACGACAAAGTATTCAAGGTAAATGTTTTTCGTCTTTGTTTTGTATTTTTTACATTTGTAGCTACGAAATTGGCGTCACAAATTTTAACGAAATTTGCGATGTATTTTTCACTGTTTAGTGCTTGAAATATTTGCTAAAATTGACTGGGAATACTTAGAGTTTTCATCGTAGAATGGCGTGGTTACATTTATTTGCTCTTTGACTAAAATGTTTAGCTGTAATACTGCTAAACATGCCGTTTTTGAGAATTTGATTTTCAACTAGGTTGAGGCATCCAACCACGCCATCAATCCCAGTAAAAACATTAGGTCACGTCAGCTAGTTTCCTATCCATTTATTTTATTATTCATGTATAAAGTATAGTGCTTTTAATATAGAGATTTCGAGCACTGATAAAAGTGATAATCTCACATGTGAGATTATTCATGATAATCTCACATGTGAAAATTATCACTTTTCAAAGACTGTCCTTTATATAATAAACAGGAAAATACACGAGTGCTTGGAAATACCAGATTTATTTCTCGTGTTGAACATGATATCTCACTCGAAATAAATCTGATATTTTCGCGCACCCATGTATTATTCTCTAATTAAATTAAGGGCGAGTACAATGTTGTGTACAAAGAAAGATATTGTTTTGGTAACACCAAACTGAGTATTTAGCTGAATAATTTTACCAATATCAGCAACTTAATAACTTACAAATATAGTGATCATCATCAGGTACTTCTTCTTCTGTGTAGTTTTTGCGTAGTGTATGTCTTGTAGATCGCCTGCTTGGTTTCTTTACACTTTTACACTTAAACTTAATGGATCGCCTCTTGGATTCGGGTTTCACATTTTCCAGGTTGTCAAAGATTGTATCATCAGTAGCGAGTCGTCCAAGAAACTCAAAATCTTCATCACTATTTGGTTTAGCCTGGCTGGCACTAGGCTGGACCTGGCTGGTACTAGGTTGTCGTTGGCTGGTAAATGTTTCGGCCTGTAATTTTAAAGTTGCACATTATGCTTTAAACATGTAGTAACGCAAAAGATGATATCCGTTTAATAAACCAAGGGTTGGGTGGTAGGTAGTATCAGTATAAAGACACTAGGATTGAATGAAAACATTGATAATATTTGAATCGTGCACAAAATGAATTTACAACCAAAGTACCAGGAAAGTCTATTTAAGAGGTACCAGAAAGGAGTACAAGACCGTCTTCCTCTGGTACGTAAATCTCTGTAACCGTTCAATTGGTCTAGTAGAAAGTTTTTATCAAATGCATGCTTGTTTGAGAAGGAACGAATTTAATTTTACATAATCGCAGTCGATTTCAGTCGATGGGGGCTGTTAAGACTATCAATTCCTATATTTTTTATTAAAAAATTGCTCGAAAATATGATTGCAAAATCTACCTGATACGTCTTGGATTTTGTTGCTGTATTGCTGGAAGATTTCTTTGTAATTGTGTGTCCCGTCTTCATTGGCTTGAATACTGAAAATATAGGGTACATTGCCTAACATTGGTACAATTGCATTTTACATCCATGGTTCCCTTTGGAATTATAGTACTGCACACTGACCGATAGATAGATTTATTTTTCAGTGTAAAGAAAGGAAGTTAATTTACCTGGCTTGTATGGTTTAAATTTCTTGCGATTATTTTCATCTTTCCCTGGCAGCCATTCTTCATCACTGCTGCTGTCACTCTCAACTTTGGCGCTTCTTTTACTTGGTTGTTTAGGAAAGTACGCCGATCTGTCAACTTCAATTCCTAGAAATTAAGCGCAGTCTTTTGCTTATAACATATTAAAAGAGTTCAGTGTGGATGACATGAGGAACAGACCCGAACAGTGGTACTTAAAGAATTGAAAATGCCATGCAACATTCTTATCACTGAGTCTTGACTTGGCAATTCCAGCTTTTAGTTTATCCGTGAAGAGGGGGATGGGAAGTAACCTATACTTATTGCTGATTATGCTGAAAAAATAAAAATGGCGGCCGTGTAAACACCAGTGGCAAACACGGAGTACTACCTCATACTTGTAAATATTGAAATATTTCGGTTGTTTCGGCAGTTTTTATTGAAATTTGTTCGCATAATCATCAATTTGATACTTTACTTCCCTGCGCGCATAAATTAAAAACTGGAATTGCCTATAGTCACTTTATTGTTGATGATAATTGTACCCATAGGCGTATGGGAGGGAAAATTTTAGGGGGAGGGGCGGAAAGAATTTTTTGAAAATATTTCGTGCACTTTTTTACCATGATTTTACATATTTATCTTATATATTTCTTGCTTTTAAATTATTTCCCACAACGTTTTGCCCAACTTTCGTTTATAATTTGCTCAACTTCAGTTTTCTTGGGCGAGGGCTGCTTTCCCCTGGGCAATGCACGGCTCGTGAGTGTAACCCCCGTTTCCGTGTCAAAGTATATGACTTGCGTTTATACCAACCTGAAAGCCACATATATTTGGTATATTTTATGTCATAGATGAAAATATTTCGAGATTATACCCACAAACACCCACCCACCCGCACCCCCTTTGTTTCTACTTGTGGTACGCTTGAAGTGAAAAACCGGCTTTAAAACCGTTGCTTTGTTACGTTTTGTCACTTTGAGGCAGGGCCGCCGAGAGAATTCGCTAACCCGGGGCAAATCTTTCCTGGGGGGCCATGACATCATTACGTTTGAGCTAGGCCTTAGCCTAACTGCATGTGGGAGGTACTGTAAGGGGCCCTCCATATAGAACCTACTCAATTTTAGGCTCTTGCTTTCAAGTTGGGGCCCTACTAAGGTGGGGGCCCGGGGCAATTTGTCCCCCTCTCGGCGCCCCTGCTCTGGGGCCAGCAAAATATTAAATTAAACCTCTTCCTATCATAGGTCTCCCGAAAAGGTCTTTTATTTAAAAAAAATCCATACAATTTGCTTTAAAATGCAATGCTTTGATATGCAATGCTTCAATGTACAGTAAAACCTCTATAATTTGTATTACGTGCAACATCACAATAGCGTTGTTTCATTATGTAATTACACGCGTAAAAATTGAGAAAATCAACAACTTGTTGCAAGTTGATATCGACAGACGTGAACAAGGTTGTGCCGCCCACTATGAACAGTATTGTCAACATGTTGTTACGGCATTGTTCAACTGTAACAACTTCGAACAACATGGTTGACAACTTGTTCATAGTTGGCCCGCACAACATTGTTCACGCCTGTCGATATCAACTTGCAACAACCTGTGCGTTTTTAGCCGTGATAATGACACAACGCTATTGTGATGTTGCACGTAATTCATGTAATACAAATTATAGAGGTTTTACTGTACATTGAAGCATTGCATCATTGCATGTCAAAGCATTGCATTTTAAATCAAATTGTATGGATTTTTTAAAAAATAGAAGACCTTTTCGGGAGACCATGTTCCTATTACATACAAAGCGTACACTTCTGACGAGTTTTAATACAAAAACATCTTGTACGAAACACAGAAAACGTACGGAAAAAAACAAACCAAACCACTTATTTTTATAACTACACTGTATATAAACTAAAACAGTATCATACTATCATGGACATCAGTAAGTTTTTACATCCAGGAGCCAATTGTTCAAAGCTGGATTAGCTTAACCCTTAGTAGGTTAACCTAAAATTCAAAGCAAACTTCCTGACAGCTTGTCCTTGAGCTTGTCTATAAATTTGGAAATATTTCTTCAGAGATCGTGTCTGGATCGACAGGAGTTTTCTTCTCTGTAGTTTTGAAATAAACAGACGTGTAGAAATAGACAAACTAAAACAGCAGATTAGATTTTAACCTAGGGTTTTAATATAGCGCTAGTCAGCTTTGAACAACCGTCCCAGACCTATATTTTGGCAACAAATCAATTCGACATACCTAATTTCTCGAGAAAATCAAGATTTCTGTTGATATTTGCTATCCTTTTCAGTTCATATTCGCAAAGGTCGTCGTCTTTCCGCTTTGGCATCCTAGAGACAGTGAAAATACTGGTTTTTCGTACATAACTTCGCAAAAAATACACACAATACAAATGTCAACAATTAATTCCGGGTGCAGCGAAAAAATATACTGCCCAGAAAATGGCAAAATTTTTAGCTATAAACACAAATAAACATACCTGAAACAATTTTGCCCCTTTTTTGTCAAAGTAATTAAAAAAAATAGACAGTAAAAAGCCTTTCCTTTCGCGTTTTTGACGGATTTAAACACAAAAAATCTGCTGGACGTCCAAAAACTTTGAAAATACTTGAAAAAGAAATTTTAAGTTTTGGCGGGAAAATTATACGCATGCGCAACACGTATCGGAATGCGTTCGGAAAGCAATCGGGAGTAGATCGGGTTAAGAGCAGAGCACTGGTTAAGAGCTCGCATTTGTCATTTCTGCAATTCCGCTAAAAAATTAAAAAAAGATAGAGCAATTTTAATACTATTTTAAAAGGTATAATATTATCAATACAGTTAATTTCTTCTAAATATCTCACGGTTTTTTAAGGATTTTTCCAGGGAGGGGCTTATTTGAAAAGGGACCGTTCTGTGAGATATTATTTTAGGATGGCCATTCTGAGCATCGAAATTTGCTATAAAATTTACGCAAACTAAATTTGTATTGGAAATAACAGATTAAGGGAAAAACGCGCAGAAAATAAAAAAATATATCAACAATAATTTATCATTACTTAGTGTCGATTTAATTAATTAGGTCGATTTTATTAAACAAGAACAAGGGATGGTACGTAACTTACTTTCCGTTTATAAAGCACAAGGGGGAACTGGGGGCGTTTGCCCACCCCCCCTCCTCCAACTTGTATGTTAAAAAAGACCCTGAAACATGTCCAAACCCTAGTACCAGTTTTGACCTTTTTAGAGTCGAATATACCACAACCTTTTCGTCCATTTTTACCCACTTATTTCACTGTTGAAAAAGTGGTCAAAAATGATAAAAGTGAGGCTATAGCCTTAACTTTTCGTCCATTTTCGCCCACTTATTTAATTTTTGAAAAAGAGTTATAAAACACCAAAAAGAAAGGCTATAGCCTTAACTTTTCGTCCATTTTTGGCCACTTATTTCATTTTCGAAAAGGAGGCAAAAAACGAACAAAAAGTAAGGCTATAGCCTTAATTTTTCGTCCATTTTCGCCCACTTATTTCATTTTTGAAAAAGAGTTAAAAAAGACAAAAAGAAAGGCTATAGCCTTAACTTTTCGTCAATTTTTGGCCACTTATTTCATTTTTGAAAAAGAGGCAAAAAAGACCAAAACGAAAGGCTACAGCCTTAACTTTTCGTTTATTTTCGGCCACTTATTTCATTTTTGAAAAGAGGCAAAAAACGACCAAAAAGTAAGGCTATAATAGCCTTAATTTTACGTCCATTTTCGCCCACTTAATTCATTTTTGAAAAAGAGGCAAAGGGCGACCAAAAACACCAGGAACCTTGTCCTCACCGCCAGGAGCCTTGTCTTCACCACCAGAAACCTTGTCCTCACCGCCAGGAACCTTGTCTCAGCGCCAGGAACCTTATCCTCACCGCCAGAAACTTTGTCCTCACCGCCAGAAACTTCGTCCTCACCGGCAGGAACCTTGTCATCACCGCCAGGAACCTTGTCCTCACCGCCAGGAACTTTGTCCTCACCGCCAGGAACATTATCCTCACCGCCAGAAACCTTGTCCTCACCGCCAGTAACCTTGTCCTCACCGCCAGGAACCTTGTCCTCAGCGCCAGGAACCTTGTCCTCACCCCCAGGAACCTTATCCTCACCACCAGGAACTTTGT